TGGAACACACAAAGTACCAACAACGAGTTGTACCTACCTGAGCAAATACTGCTGGGGACTGGATTGGCATAAAAGGCTCATTTATAACTGTCTTTCAGGAGAAGAGAATGACATGAATATTGCTGTGGTTTGGATATTAGCTTAGAGGTAGAATCTCCTAAAATCCTATGTTCCTTGGTTCCTTAGGAACTAAATCAATAATACCCTTAAAAGATGTTCAGGACACTCCTCTACAGAGAAAGAGACAGAAAAAAATGGCAAACATTTTCTAGAAAAATGCTTCCAATAAACACATGTGACTTGTCATATCATCGTCGTATTTCATGTGTCAATATAACCATCATTTTTATTATGAAAAATTCCAGTTAAACAACAAGAAAAAAATCAGACATGAGATGCACAAATGTGCAAGGAGTGAATACAAGCAAAACATGAGCACGCAGCACTCACCAAACAAGCAGAGGGCCCGGTGCGGTAGCATAGCGGCTACAGTCCTCACCTCTCAGGCCTGGGATCCCATATGAGTGCCTGTTATAATCCCGGCAGCTTGCTTCCCATCCAGCTCCCTGCTTGTGGCCTGGGAAAGCAGTCGAGGACGGACCAATGCCTTGGGACCCTGCACCCGTGTGGGAGACCTGTAAGAAGCTCTGAGCTCCTGGCTTCGAATTGGCTCAGCTCCAGCTATTGCAGCCACTTGGGGAGTGAATCATCGGACGGAAGATCTTCCTCTCTGCCTCTCCTTCTCTCTGTATATCTGACTTTGCAATAAAAATAAGCCTTAAAAAAAAAACAAGAGGAAGAAAAACAAAACTCCCAATATAAAGGATTGATGAATTCAGAAGATGAGTCAATGGGGGTTAATTTTCCCACCATTATCTCTACATTTGTTTAGGGAAGGAATATTTCTGTGTACATTCGATTGAACAGCTTCTGAAAGTCCTAAACAGTAGTGCAAATTATATGTCTAGAAAACAGATAAATCAGAAATGTCAAAATTACTTCAGCTATCATTGAGACACAATTTCCTTTGCTTTCTTTCACTGCTATTATTTTAAAATTGTTTTTCTAAATGAGGTATATAAATACTTGATTAACACCTTTGAATCCTGAGTTGATGGATTATAACTTGCCTAGTAGATTTAATTACACTGACCATAAAAGAGCCAGCATTTGTGGCACAGCCGGTTAAGCCACTATTTGAAACAATCCAGCTCCAGTCTCAGCTACTGACCTTCTGATTCAGCTCTCTTCTGATAGTGTGCCTGGCAAAACAGAGAAAAGTGGGCCAAGTATTGGCCCCTGATATCCACTAGGGAGTTCAAAATGGAGCTCCTGGCTCCTGGTTTTGCCGTGGCCTATTGGTGACCAATTGGGGATAGTGAATGGATGAATGAAGATCTTATAAATGCTCTTACTCTCTGTCCCCAGCCCCACTGTCACTCTGCCTTAAAGAACAGGAATCGTTTTCTTGTAAATAAATAAAACACTGACTAAACAAGAGCATTGGGTAAAATATAAATATATGACATAAATGTGTTGATAACATTATCGTTCATTTAGAGATAGGGCATGATATGCAAGGGTTATGCATACAATCAATGCAGAAATAAATCTGTTAAGAGTCATAACCTAGATATCAGCCTTGCAGGATGGAAACAGAGATACACAAATGCTCCCTATCAGACTACACTTTTAAAAAAGTGTTTGTTTAAGGGACAAAGCGACCAAGACAGGAGAAAGCACCCCAACTCAGACCTTGTTCCTCTGCTTTGTCAGGAGGATTGCCTAAGGGCTGGATCCAAAGCAGAGCAGCTAGCACTCCAACACCGGGTACTAACATCACAAGTGAGGTTTAAGCTGCTGCATCACCACGCGCGTCGTGCTGGAGGTGGCTATTCTACCATGTGCAGCACCTCACACCCATGCCTCCTGTCCCCCAAACCCTCCACATATAGAAAGCTTCTGTTCTGTGTACAAGTGTCTCTAATTCTTTCAAGCAAACTGACACTCATCTTGAGATTATAAAAAAATAAAACTAGGGACTATAATATTTGAGGACAAAAGAATAAATCCTTACAGCTATTTCAGGCAAAAGAAAGAAAACCTAAGGTTGATGATTAGATTTTTCATTGAGTGGTTTGGGGTTAGCAGTATTGGCCAGTGTTGTTTAAAAAAATGATAATTGTGCTTATTTAAGGACTTCATTCTGATGTTTCAATCATGTATACATTGTGTGCTGGTCAAAGTATAGTGCTATTTGTCTTTTAGACATGGTTATCTCCTTCTGACTTGTCTTTTGCAATGCTTATGCCATTATCACCAATTCCTTTTTGAATGACAGTCTTTCCCCATTACGTGTGCTTTTATTGTGAAATCTGCCTCTAAGGAAATGACTGTGTTATTTGCCTTCCCTACAGCACAGAGAATAATCTGCTCTTCCATGGTGATAAAGTACATCAGCTAACACACTCATCCCATAAGCCCATGTTTACATGCACTCACGCTCAGCAAACATTGCAGATTGCTGAGCTCCTTCGCCTATTTCTCCTGGACACTACCCAGATGCTGTTTCCATGACATCCTCAACTGACGAGGGGCCTGTCTTTTTTACAGAGTGTGTATTTGCTTGGCTTCATGAAAAGGAGTATATGTCACCTATTCTTGTCAACTTTTATGCTAAAAGGATCACTCCCAGGTCTGATCACAGCCTGGATTCACTTTTTGGCATTGTAACTAGTTATCACCTAGTTTTCACCACAGACACAATAAATAGATCTGAGCCACTGGACAGGCAAGTGCCATATTACACTCACTAAATCTCTCTAGCCTCTCTCCACGATAGTTTTCCCATGGAGGAAAAAAATGAATTAAATGGCCAACACTTGATCTGTACAGATCCTATACCTGGCTTTCAGCTGTTGGCCACCCACCATGTTCCTACATGCAACCACAGTTCCAGGCATTTCTAGTTAGAAGGAGCCTGACTATCTGAATTCACACGTATTATACCTGAGGCTTAATCTGTCTCTCATCCACACGTCTCCATATGCCTCCTTTGGAGATGAGGAGAGTAGCACACTTATTCAGGTTTGGAGGGAGCAGTTATCTGAAGAGCCCTACATTTCATTTCTACCCAAGCCTTAGCTTCCTTTGTCAAGTCATATACTTCCTGCCCCCACCATGCAAAAAGAGTTGTCATAGGTCCAAGAAATGACCCCTGATTGGACTTCGGTTCGTTCAGCAAGTGAAATTGATTTTTGCCTTCATCAGATGCCGAGGAGTAAACAGAGTCTGATGAGGATCTCATGTTCAGTCTCCCGGAACTGTTGTAGTCCTGGTCTCTCCTGACAGTTTTCTATGAAAGCCAAGTTGGTAGCCAGAGACCTGCTGCCTATGACTTTGCTTCTCAGGCTCACGAGATGGCAGACCCTAGAGGCAGGATCTAAATTTAGATCTCGGAGGTGACTGACAAGATGACCATCTAATCCACACTCTGAGCTTTACCAGCACATATAAAGAATAGCTAGCCTGTGTCTAAAGACTGCAGCAATCTCTCTGTATAATAGTTATATGTGTGTATACACACATATATGTACATACACACAAAATGTTTATATACACATTTTCGTATGTATATATACAAATGTGTATACACACACACACAATCTGAATTAATTAGAAGTTCTGAGGTCCGAGTGGCTCCAGGCCTAGCGTAATGGTGACATCTTGAACAGACATAAATAAGAATGAAAACTCTGAACCCCTGAAGTCTTCCTGAATTCTTCCTGGCTTCCAGAGGTAGCCCTCACAAGCCATACAGCCAAGCACCTCTGTAGTAACAATTCAGTGACTTAAGCTAGGAAAATGGCTTCACAAGGCTATTCACCTTCTTAGCACACACCCACCTGAGCCCTGGGAACCTTCAGTACAGTATCTGGTTCATTTGATAATCAAGTGTTTTGCCAATTTGCGTAAGTGGGGATGTTGGGCACTTGTATGGGTGGAAACCTGGCAATACTTGCCCAAGGAGGATGAAATGCTAAAATCAAACTATCCTGATTATGGTTTACTTACCCAGGACACAGCATTTAAGTGCCTGAAAGCAGTATTAAAACAGTATTAAAACAGCTGAGTCCCCAGCTACATACAGCACCTCATTCCTCCTATGCTAACCTCACTCCTAGATTATGTTTACAGGGATGTCCACTTTCACTTGTGTATTTTTACTATATGCATTGGGTTTTGTTTTCTTTTTCCTCCTTCTACTTGCTATGTCATGATACGTTTAAATATCAGAAAGTTAAGCTTGTTACTGTAAATAAGTATGCTACTGTAGTGATTTGTGAAAAATAAGCGGAGGAGGTAGGAAGGGAAGAGGGTGGGTGGAATCCCTATGCTTTTCAATCTGTATTGTGAAAAACGTGAACTCTACTCATTTTACATACATTAAAAATAAGAATAAAGATATAAATGAATCCATTTTCAAAACCAGTGTGAGCTATCATTCATCAGAAGCTGCAGTCCACAGCAGCATAGGCGCAGAAAGTCCAGGGACAGCTTCCCTGCAGAGCTAAGGGGACCCAAAGTTCAGTGTTGCATGTAGGGGCCTCGCAAATTTCACAGAAAACGTGTTTTCCCCTGAAATTTAGGAAGCCCTCTCATGTTCAGGTTTCTACCTGCTGTGTCCCCCTGGTCATTAATAATATCCCTTTCCACTGCCAAGTGTCCTGGTTTGGGACGACGAGCCACATGGCTAGCCAGCCCTTATCAATGCCACCCAGGAGGCCCCAGAAGACATCCCTTTTGGCTTTGGTAAGTAAAGTACTGGACTATTTTTGAAAACCCTCTGGACGCTGTCGTCTGCAGGCCAAAGATGATGTTAGGCAATAATGAGATTGCATTGCCCCCACCCCCAACCTCACAGGAAACAGGCATCAGTGTGTAAGCGGCAGCCCCCAATGATAGCACTTAATCATCAAGACAATCAATTTTTTTTTCCATTTCTGTAGTGCTTGATATTTATTGAAAATAATGCCAATGTTTTTTCCAGGTAGTATCAAGGATCTAGGCTGAGTACATTCTTGCTTACTTGTTTGTCAGAATCATTTGTTTCACTGCACACATTTGTGGGAGTGCTGTAATTATGAAAGAAAAACGACACCTGTGCATAAGAGAAAAGAAATGTCAACAATTTGGCTGCCAGGCAGAGGAGGCCCCTGCAGCACTCCGGCCAGGCAGAGGAGGCCCCTGGGTAGTGGGTAACTAAGCAAGCTTAGAGAATGGCCCCATCAGGGGTTGGTGAGCTGTCCAAATCAATGTCCTAAAGATGCAGCCGTGTGAAAAGTGTTCCGTGCTGGTCCGAGTCTCTTGGAGGCGGTGGATCGCCGCGGGTGGTAGTGGAGTGGCAGCGTGAAGTCTCTGCAGGTGCAGGCCTGGAAGTGAGGCAGGTGGCAGCGGCAGAGACATCTGAGCAGTTGGGAACAGGGGCCTGGTGGCCGATAGCTGCAGCTCGGACACAGTCTGGATTAGTAGGGGAGCCGAACTGTGATTAGGCAAAGTAGATGACAACAGGCTGCCCCACGAGGCTCCTACCCAGCCCCAGCAGCAGGAAACTGCAGGGATACCCCTGGAACAAAGCAAAAGCACTACAGGGCCTGGAGGGGGTGGTGGCGTGGCGTGGTGTGGCTTGGCGTGGCGGGGAGATGGAGAGCAGAGAATAAAGGAGCGAACAAGAGGTTGAGAGGGAGAGCAGCAGCAGCTCCGGGTGTGGGGAGCCAGGGGTGGGGATGGAGGAGGGGGGTGGCTGCGTGCATGGCTCCCCCTCCCCCTCCGGAGGCCTCGAGGGCTCCGGGCCTAGTAATCATCTTCGTCGTCGTCGTCGAAGTCGTCTTCGTCGTCATCCCAGCCGAAATACTGCTTCATCTCATCCAGGAAGGCCCGGTAATTGCCTAGGATGGGGCTATCCATCTCGATGTAAGGCACCACCCACTCCTCCGCTTCCCCGGTGAGAAGGCTGATGAGGAACGCCACCTTCATGGCGTCGTTGCAGAATCGGTTCTCGTTCACGAGCATGTAAGAGGCCGTCTGCACGATAAACTCAGGGAGCCGGGAGCTCTCGCCGTTAAACGTTCCGGGGAAGGGAATCGGGCAGCTCGGTGGACGTACCTGGCGCAGCAGGCAGGCCCTCTCGCACACCAGCATCCGCAGCTGTTCCATCAGCTGGCTGTTCTCGATGCTCAGAGCGCGGTGCCGCACCAGGAGTGCGTGCAGCAGCAGCACAAGCTCGTCCACCATCGCGACTATGTGCAAAGAGCTGGGCGCGCTTGAATCCGCTCGGCTCGACCAAGGTGCTCGCAAAAGGCCTTGCAGGAAGTGCGTGTCGGCTCAAATGCCGTGGCCAGGGGTAGGGAAGGAGAAAGCTGAGTTAGGGGCGACTGCGCAAACTCCGCCCACGAGGCCACTCTGGCAGCCGGTGCGCCGGCGCGGCGAGGCGGGGACGGCCAGGAATGGCAAAGAGGCCAGGACACAGCGAAGGCGTGGCCAGTGTGCCCCGACCGTTGGCGGGGATCGGTCCAGGGAGGGAGTGGCCGGGGAAGGGCGCGCTGGCCAGTGCAGGTTCGTGGAGCAGCAGACTGGTGCTGGCGCTCCTGGAGAGCCAGGTGCCGGTTGAGTGAGCTGCTTAACATCAAGGCCCAGCGTCTGCTGGAGACCCTTGTCTCCGGAACAGCCACACTGAATAAGTTGAAAGGATTAACTACCGTTCTCCCTAGGGGTCTTGTAATTCACTGTCCTTTCGCTGGTGTGCTGGCACTACTTTAATCTGTGTGATGTTTTGTTAGTATAACTTGTTGCTTACTTTAGCACCACCCGAGAAGTGACTACTTCACAATAACTACCTGTGACCTGACTGTCCTACAAAAAACATCCATCCTTGAGTCATGAAGACCTGAGGAGGTCTTTTATCACAAAGCCATATTTGAAATGGGACTTTTCTTTAGTAGATATCCCTTTAAAAAGTCCTGAACACCAACTTACAAACTCTTGCAAAATAAGCATCTGGTCACCGCTTAAGACGTTGTTCTCATCCTTGACTCTATTTAAAAATCGAATTTTTAAAGTCCTGCTATTGGAGCATGTGGTAATGGCTTTGTTTACTTAGCAATGAGTAAGCCATTAACACCTTTGTGTTCTTTAGTGACTGTGCTTTCTGTTTTAAATTTGTGATTATTCAAATGGTTGTTGAAAGTAAATGCAGTCATTCTTGTCCTACCATTAGGAGCCTGATGCCAGATTGCTAAAGATAATCACTAAGCTTATCTTTTGTTCTTCCTGCCCTTTATTCTACTTAGAGTAGCAACCACCGTCCTTTACCCCAGCAGTTAGACCCCAGTCATTCCTTTGCTTAACACCCTCCAATAATCTCCCCTAGTTGATAAGGTCTCTACCTGCATCGCATCTCTGCATCCCTGCATCCCATACAGGCAACAGTGTGTCCTGGTTGCTCCATTTCTGACCTAGCTTCATGCTAGTGGCTAGGGCAAAACATTGGAAATAGCCCAAGGGCTTTATCACTTGCTTGCACGTGGGAGACTTGGAAAAAGCCCCTGGCTTCTGGCTTTGGACTACCTCAGGTCCAGCCATTTGTGGCTATTTGGGGAGCGAACCAAAGGATGGAGAATCTCCCTCTGGCTCCCCTTCTCTCTCTGTAACGATGCCATTCCAATAAATAAATAAAATATTTCCTCTTTTTTAGTTCTTTATTTTTCATGATACAGTTTCTTAGATTCAGAAGTTTCCCCTACCGCTTCTCCCACCTCCACCTCACTGTTTTCCCCTATGTTGTAACAATACTTTAACCCTCAACAATACTCACAAGTCCATCATTCTGTTATTTCAGTGCATCCTGACACTGTAAGTATAGACAGTGATTTAAAGCCCAGCATTCTAGTGTCAAGATAGACTTAACAATAAAACTTTTCTAAACAGAAAACGCGAAGTCTTGCCCTTAGCCTATAAAACCCTGCCTAGTTTCTGTATCTTCTCATGCCCCGCTCTGCCTAATCACATCATTCTTCCTGATTTTTCCCACACAGATCGAATAATTCCAGCTTCCAGGCCTTTATGTCTTCTACTCCTTCTGACTCACAAAGCTCTTGGCAGTTAGCTGCCTGGAGCCTCCCATGACATTCACGCAGGGTTCTTCTGACCACACTATGTTTCTTAGCTCCCTGTTTGCTGGCAGCAGTCTCTAACTAACCCCTTACCTCAGTATGCTTATAGACAGGATTTATCAAACTCCTGGCTACCACATTATACCGCAATTTGCTCAATTTTTGCCTCCATTGTGGACTGTCAGTGCAGTGCAAAGGCAAGCATTGTTTCTTACTTGCTATCTCCTTAATGCCAGGCCCAGAGAAGTGGTTTCATGAGTATTTGGTGAATCAAAGCATCACAAAATGCCAAAGCTGAGATAAAAATCGAAACGGAGTTGGCTGAATAAAGTTTCCGAAATTGTCTTTCAAATTACTTGGTATATCTGATTATCAATTAGACATACAAACTACAAAATGGATTTTAAAGAAAATCCCGTTCAGTTATTTCACTGACAGATGATCTGTGCAAGTGGGAGGCTGCGAGAGAGAACCAGGGAAAAGATCCAAGTAGAAAGAAGATGAGGCGATACACCGGCCAGCAGGAAGAGTAGGGAAAGGGAGGAAATGGAGCTATGAAAGCTTGTATTCTCCAAGGAGCTCGTCTGCAGCTGCACCATGAGCTCGTCCAATAGATGAGGAGCTCCCTGGCAGCAGACAATGGTCAGTACTCACTCAAACTTGTATCTTTGATATTTGCTAGTGTTTCTTAGTGCAGTGGATAAAACCAAGGGGAGCTGTGGGGAACATGCCAGTGCATTTCCAGGCATCATGCACATTCCCAGCTCAATCTGCAGGATGGGTTCGGCAAGGGCAGAGATAGTATGCAGCTCTTCCCTGAACAGCCAGGCACTGAGTTCTATTGCTAGGAGCATGCTTCCTGTGGTAACACCGGCCCAGATGATGGGCATTGCTATCTCACTGACCCATGTACAAAGAGCTGCATGTGGGAATGGTCCCTTTGGAGACAGTGTTTAGAATTAGTTTGTCTGAACCCAGAAGAGTCATTGGTTGGTGGAGTCATACCACCGAGACTGTGACTTGAAAACAGATGTTCTTCTGCCGAAAACATTAATGTGTCTGAACTCCGGTGAGTTCATTGGGTGCAGGCAAATCTGATGTGGATCCAGAGATGATGAAGCAGTTTGCTAGTCCTCTTCCTACAATCTTAAGGCAGAGGAGTCGGGCAGAAAATCAGATGAAGCAACCGTTATTGGTCTCCCTCAGAGAGCTCGGAGGTCCGGAAAATGAGAAATTTCCTGGTCAGTACTGTGACTAGATTTGAATAGTAACTTGGGGAGCTACTACTGAACTTGAAGGGATGGAATGAACAGACAACTTGGTATCAACTCACAGGGAGTAAGTGGGAAGAGTTAAATAGTATCGGTAGACAAAATATGTAGGATCCCAGTGTTCCCGTTAACCACTCCTCCCCTGCTCCCCTCGCTCAGGGCTCAGGAGCTTCATGTAGTCTTCCTCATTCCTGTGACCTCTCTCAAGAGCCCTCCAAGACTTAGATGAATATTCACGGGCAGAATCAACAACTCCCTCTGATTTATCTCAGGCGCGGACACTTCTTCAGAGAAGCTGTGGCTTGAGAGGGCTGCAAAGCATCTCCGAAGCTGCCAGGCGGCAGGAACTGAGGCCCAAGGCCTGGGGAATTATTGATCCCTGGCACTTCTGGCTGCAACTCTTCAGCAGGTACACACGTTGCAGCTGGACTACACATTTCACTTTTCAGATGACACAAATATGTTCCTGGTTTCGTCTGTCACCAGAGGGTGGTATATAGACTAAACCACCTGGCACTAGTCTTTCCAACAACCTTACTGTACTCACGTGTCGCTAAGACTGCTTTTTCAAGAACCGCACCTGAAGGATTGTGGAGCCCTCTGCCCTACTTAGAAAGAGGACTGAACAGGCACAGCTTCCACCCTCTGGCCCTCATTATCGCCAGCTGAACAAAGTACCCAGAAACTCTTTTGTTTCTATTTATTATAATAATAACATTTTCTCAGAGTGAAAAGAAATTCTAGGAAAGTGACATTGATGTGCTAAAATAAAAACCTGGAATTCTCCACATCTTTTAGCCCACAAAGTATCACCACACAAGTTCATCACAAATTCAGAATCTGCGCCTTAACCCTCGGCCAGGATCAAGTAGCTCAGCTGTTTTCTTCGGAATGCTAGTGTGATACTCCACCTGAACTGTTCACGTGCATTCCTGCCCTGGGACTAAGATGATCCAGCATTTTTCCCTCAGATTATACAGGAAGAAGCATAATGCCAAATACATTTGTACTTCCAAATCTAAACAGCTGAAAAGTGGATGTATTCTTTTCACAATTTATTGACCTATTTGAAAGGTCGAGTGACAGAGATGAAGAAGCAGAGAGAGGTCTTCCCTACACTGTTCCAATGCTGAAATAGCTGAAGGCAGTATCCAGGAACTCCATCTGGGTGGTCCATGCAAGTGCCAAAGGGCCAAGTAGTGGACCAGCTTCTGCTTCCTCGGGTGCATTAACAGGCAGTGGATTGCAAGCAGAGCAGCCAGGACTCGTAGTCTTTGTGGATGAACGGTGGAGCTAGCAGTTGCCTTATTCACTATGCACAAGGCTGGCTACTGAAAACTCAGATTGCTACCACTGAATAAATATTTTTCCCAGTAACTTCGATGGAGTACTTTGTGCTCTTTTTATATATATTTTGTACTGCCATAATACAGAATTTTATCCCTATAACATATTGCACTAGAGTGTTCTTTTTTAATTATTATTTTACCTGGTTATTTTAACCTAACTAACTACATTCTTAATATAAATCTTATATACTTTCTTTGCTAGCTTTATACTACATTTTAGAAACTATCTGGCATTCTGTTAAATCTGTTCTTACAGAGATTAAAAAGGTGACATGCACGATTTCCGCTAAATGTTTTGCTTTAAACATTTAATCAAGCCTCTGGTTTAAATTGGCTACATTGATCTACACTCAGGTTTTTCTGACACAGAATGACATATTCAATCGAAAATAAGCACAAATCTGCACTAGTCCTGTGTCTTGATTTGATGAGTAAAAATGCAATGCAATGACTTAAAATTTGAGACACAATCTTAGCAACCTTGAGGATTCTATCTTCATCAC